GAGAGGCCAGAATTTAGTTTCTTGTTAAAATAAGCTCGTTTTTCATTTCTGATAACAAGCGTCGCTCTGTTTCGAGCCGATTTAAAGGCATTCCAATTTTCCAACGTGGGTTTCTTTTTCCATATGGAATGAAGTTTATTTCGTAACTTAATTGATTTCAGAGATTTTGAGGTAAACCATGGACAGGACATAGACTTATTAGTGATTGTACGAATGGGGACATGTCTCTCGAAGGCTGACTTTAAAATTCCCATTAAGAAATCAAGTTTTTCATCGGTAGATGGATATATCCAACATTCGCTCAATACACAATACAATTCCGAAAGAAGTAAATTTGTGTTGACAAAGCGGTAATCTCTAAATGAGATAGTCTTATTTATGCAACAACGATCGATATTTATGTCCAAACAGCAGAGATCATGGTCAGATACAAAAGTTAATTGTTAATTAATCTAAACGATAAGCTACCAAAAAATTAAATGTCAAGTGAATCGAATCGTAACTAGATTGTCTCGCATGAATCGGTACCCGAGATTCTCTTAATTAAGTTGAATTTTATTACGGTCCAGCCGTTATCAATTCAAGAAAAACTGTAACATAGCGCACGCTATGGAATTTCTCGGCTTTAACGCACGTAAATGCAAGGAAACGGATACTGTATACGCAGGGGCGTGCCTTCCAACAAAGCTTCAGCTGAAGTCGTCGAACGATGCCGTCTATCGGGTTATCGTATGGACCAAGGCAATTACATATCTGCTCGGTGCACCTTGGCACTTTCGAAAATGTTTATATATTATATTAATCCAAACAATAGAAATGATTTTTTCGAATAGTTCGGTCCAAGGTCCTCTTCCCGGTGTAAAAAATAGATGTTATGTTATTCTCAGACCTTTTCAGAGGAGTATCGTGTCTAACACAGTGACACGAGAAATCTCGTAATTTCGATTCCATTAATATAATTCACATTACGATTTGAACTATTTACATTTTTATCCCCCAGAAATTAATGCGAAACCGTAGAATTAAGGCGTGGCGAAGTTCATAATAAATATAATTAAATATGAATAAAAAGGTATTTAATCTAATGAGCAACTGTGAACCCTATAATCTTGCTATAACGAACTTCCGTTAGAGAGAAAACTTCCTAATCAGATGTTACAAATTATTACATACGTCAACGCTTGTCTTTCATATTGCTTATTTGAAGTGTTATTTGTACGTAATTCATAATTCTCGACACCACATCTTTTGAAGTAAACGTCAAGTGTAATACTCAAATAATATTTAATTTCACTTTATAGAATTATAATAAAATTTTTAAAAGTAACTCTAAATATTTCCGTATTTCGGCCTACCTGTATTTGGGATGCGTGTAAATCCATTGTTATAATATGATCGGCTCCAGCTACAGACAGCATGTTTGCGACTAATTTGGCCGATATGGGAGCGCGACTCTGTTGATAAATAGAATAAAAAATTTATGATAATTAATCGTCCGTACGTGTAAAGAAATAATAATATACTACTGTCTATTATAATTTTCATAATTAAATTTATATCAGTTTTTATGCCAAATATTTTGAATTTTTAGTCTTTCTTATATGCTCATATATGCATACATACATAAATACATATGTATTACAAAGCATATTTTGAAATGTTTGCGAGAACAGGAAGACGTTGAAAATAAATATGTACGTTTCAATATATAATATTACATCAATTACATCAAAAATCATGTAAACAGCTTCGACAAATAAAGAAAGATTTTTTTAGAAAAAAAAAAATGTATGTAACAAAGACGCGTTACGAAATACCTTTTTATATTTCCTTTTTGTAAAAGTGAGGCATTCAATAAGCGACTTTGAACCGAATTCATAGTAAAATCCCTGAAAATAAATTTCCATTTTTCGAATAGTTTTAAAAAGAAGATATTTTTTTAATCTGTTTAGAAGAAGAAACGATTTTGCATATTGACTTTATTAAGAGATCCTCAATGATCGAATCGTTTTATTAATATGAAAAATAAACTTAACGAAATGATTCTGTTCGGCGCAATGTTATCGAAACGAAATATAATTGTTAATATTGAAACTAACTAAATAAATTTTCTATAATTTGAACCCTGACCCTCCCGCACTGCTAACCACTCTACTATTTCGGCTTCCACAAAAATATTAGAAGTTAAAACCATTCTTTAACTTGCCTATAACAGTGGGTGGTAATGGTAAAACTCGCCAGAGTAGAAAGGGAAGAGAAAGAAGAAGGTTAAGCGTTTGAAACTGCGGTTACGAGCTGGGATGAAACGGGCTAAAACTGTTGGGAAACTAACATCTAAATATAAAAATTAAAGTATTTCAGCTGTTCAATGTCTACTTAAAATTATAATTACCTTTATTTGTAGGAAAATAAATTGAATATGCTTGACTGAAAATTTGCTTAAACAGTTATACATAATTCGTACGTTATTAATATTCTTTTGTATAATAAAATATATTATCGTGTCCAGTAACTAAATAGATAATACAAAATTGATTCCAGCCCCTCTTTAGATATTATTGAATGAGTCGAAAATAATACGAAAAGAGGGAAAATATGTGAAAAAGTACGAGTAGTAGTCTTGTAAAGCTTCTTCATTCCGGAAAATTCTGATTTAAGTTCATATATTTATAAGCTTGGTTAAGCGATATCAATTGTTTTTAATCTCACACGCGACCTTTTGGGGCATAACAACAAATCATTTATATATACATACATATATTTATAGTACATCTACAAATATATGTATGTATGTACCGCTTACGAATTTTATTCGAATAAAAATTGATATTTATACGTGTACGTAAGAGCATGTACATACATATATATGTATATACATACAGGTATATTTGTGTAATACACATGTGTATTTGACAGCTTGGAAACTACTGAACCAATGAGGTCTATGACCTTCTGCTTCGAGGTATGTTCGGAACAAACGATTATTAATTCAAATCAAATCATGGTCTCAACCGTTATATTCTAAACATTAAATCTGGTTCAGCGATTTCCATAATGTATTAGACGGCCATATTGAAAATTTTATGATGCATATTTTGCCTTTCAATGACTTCGATTTCAGCTTATCGTCAAGAACTGATGCTATTGCAATTCAGCAAAATATCTGTTTCTCTCGTTGAGCTTAAATCATTGTCGAAAACGGATGAAGCAGTGGACTTTGACCTCTATAAAAAAATACAACCAAAAGCAAGATGGTAAATCTACTACATTTTGCTAAGAAATTCTGGATTCTGAATGCGTAACGATAAGGTCATTTCAACGCTTCAAATCTCCAGGGTTAATGGGTATCTTCCCCTTTAAATTTGTGCCGAAGGAGCTGGAATACATCACCTCCAGAATGTGCTTCGATAATTTCCAAATAAATATGAGCATGAGATTACCATACCAGTGCAGTGGCTTCCAAGCAGAACTCTTTGCAATCATGGTAGCCACTGAGGGGCTGCTGAAATCTACGGCAGCAGGACAATCAGTAACGATGTATTCCGATAGCCAAGCTGCAATCAGATCTACATTTTAACAATAACACACAAAAGGTGGCTATAAAATGTAGAAGCAAACTGCACAAATTCTCTACCAAATGCAGCACTTTCGTGGTCAGGAAACTGAACACGCGGACATCCCAAGGAATTGCAGGGCAAACAAACTAGCGATAATGACTTGGATGCAGGTTTACCTTTGTCCGCTGTTAAGTATATGCTAGAACTGACACAAATACTAGAGACCAGGTCCAAAGTAGTCAGACAGTTGTGGCCAAAATATGGCCGGCTCTGCTAGCATAACGGCAGGTATAATAAGGCTTCACGTGAAAAGAATAGGCAATCACTCGAAGAAGATAAAGAGCCTATTGAGCACTACCTCTGTCACTGTTCAGCCATGAAATCTAGGCACCAGAAAGCAAAAAATTGGTGGAACTAGCGGTATCCCAATTTGATAATTGGCCTAAGTACGATGGCCCCTGACCAACAGCTGCAAATTAGAGGATAGCTTTTTACAAAAGTTCAACCAAATCAAACCATAAATAATTTTTTTTTTCGAATATGTCTTTTAGAAGAAAAGTAGTCTTAAAGCAAAAAACTACCTCCGTACCAATTTTTAAACAATTACCAAATTTTTCAAACAGAAGTTCGGTTTTACAGAAACAATTATTATATTTGAGCTTTAGACCTAGTAGCTAAGCTCCCAGACATATAGCTTATAAGATTAATGTTGTAAGCTATATTTATTTAAATAAATAAATAAAATTATTATATTTTTTAAGATTTTGTCTTCGTGTGCATATCTGGCCATATGCCGTTTGAGTTCAAATTTTCCTATTCATCTTTCACTCTTCATGATTATTAACCAATCACAACGTCAATACTCTCCCAATCCCAAGTGTCATTAAAATACTTATTTATAATCCGAAAAATTTTGTTTAATAATATCGAAATAATTTTATAATCCTAAACAAATTAAACAACAAATGGATTGTATTGTTTGGATCTCTGAAAATGTGAAAGTGATTTAAGACAAATAGTCGTCATTTTTTGAAAACATGTTTATAAGTTAAATATTTTTGGCTTCGTGTCTGTGGCGAAAAGTCAGTCACTGTTTTATAGATATACTGTCGGCGTGTGTTTCCGAAATTGTTTCAACCCCATCTAAAATTGCATTGACCCTCATATCATAAAGAACACTAAATTAATTAGTAATTTTTCGTTAAAAAGGCTTTGATTTCATCAAAATATCTGAAGACTTAATTAAATATTAACTGCGTTAGCCTTTTGATTAATAAACAATGCATGTATCATAAAATGTGGTTAAGCCAATTTGAATTGTATTTATCCGAAACACAACTTATATATGTCTATAGTTATAAAAGGATATATATGTAAATACTTTGGATTGTAAATACCCTAAATTTCCAGTCGTGGTTTTTTTTGGCAAACTTCATGTTATCTGAGCCGTCTTCGCCCCCTTGTAACTGTATTGGAAAATGAAAAAAGAAATGTTTTAGATATAAACTAATACCATAATAATAAACCGTTTCCCCAGTTTTTTATATATTGTAGTATGGGTATAATCGCGAAATGTACACAACATGGAAAAGATGAATTTTATTCATATTGACAATATCTTTACAGCTTTTGATTACATTGATTTCAATTTGGTTTCCTGTATTTAACGATTAAGCTCGTTAACTTTTTGAGAAGTTCACTTTGTTGTAGCCTTGAAATAACACATATAGAATTAATCAAAAACTGAATAGATATTTACACAGATTTTACTTATATCATGTATGTATACGAGTAATTTATGTCGACATGAAAAGTTCGAAATTAGGAATACATTAATTACAGGTTTACACGGATTACTGCGTTATAAAGTATTTAACAGCAAAACATGCCCCAATATAATGCAAGTTGTTGATAACTTAGATAAATTAAACATGAAGACATTTAAATATATATGCATCTTACATTGCCAAAAATTGATCGGAAACTGTTTAACGCTTTTTCTCATAGCTATACATATGTAAAAACATATAAAATATGAATTATATGGTGACCACTCCACAATACATGCAAAAATATTAACTATAAGCTTAAGAAGAAATCTCATTAGACTTCAATATTTTAAAATGATTTAATATTTACCACGTTATAGCATGAGAACAACTGATACTACTCTTTTATTCACATTGCAGATCCTATTGTCAAGCCTCACTATTTCTGACCATCTACTATTACAGCAAAATTCAAAAAATTAAGTATTTAACAAGCAGAAATAAGAGCGGTTTTTTCCGTCAAATCGATTTTGTGTCAATCTGTCATTAAATTCAATAATGTTTAGCGCATTTCATCAATCTCGTCTGGAAAATAACGTGCCAACAGACGTACATAGCAATTCTCACGACATTTAATTTCCTTTAGGCATTTTGTTATCGAAAAATTTCAATTTCCACGTGTGACCACACTGAAACTACGAGGCGACCTAAGGTAGTAAGAGATGATATGTCATCTCGTCACTGATAATTCTAATTGCAGGACTTATTCCCAACAACTTTTTTATGTTTATTAACCTTTTGCTCCTGGAACAAGCAATAACAGGACACTGCAACTTTTAGTGTTGTTGTTGTAACTACCAAATATTCCCCGAATTTGCCGGATGAAAGTTCGGGTATTTCTGGTATAGAGACCCGACTGTCGTGAAAACTATTGAATTATAGTCACCTCTTACGACAGACAGCCTTACCACGGGAAAAAAGACCTGTGTAGATGTCCCTCGCCTGTTGCGACCAGTGACTGCCGAAAAATGAGCACTGGTTAAACGAAGAATTAAATTTTGGCAAACAGCAGAAGGATTACAAATTAGCAAGGAACGAGCTTAAGAGATTTTGCATTAGCATTTGAATATGAAAAAAATTAGAGCGCGTTGAGTACCGCGAATACTCACGCCACTCGACCAGCCACGGAGATTAAAATATAAAGCGGAAAAGTCAGCTTAGAATATTATGGCCACCATTTTCTGGGATAGCGAGGGAATATTATTAATTGGTTACTTGCCAAAGGGAACTACAATGAACTGCCAGTATTACGCGAATTTGATGAGTCATGCGCGTGAGGCTGTCGAACTGAAGAGACATGGCAAGTTAGCGCACAGAGCGCCGTTTCTTCAAGCCCCGTTCTCTTGTATTTCTAATATAAATATAAGCTCCTTTAAAAAATTCATCACACGCTCGGAAACGGCTTCAAACTGTGGGTTCCTTCATTCGTTGGAAAATCGTCACGACTAGCACCACAAATTGGAGATAGAGCTGGAGCAAGTGTTTCAATACAGTAATTCATTTACCATCAGATTGTATCATTTTAAAATTTTCTTAGAGAGATTTTAGTGGTTGCCCTTGAAATTGCTTTGTTTCCCAGACAACTTCGTTAAATTTAGTTTATACGTGTGTATTTCCATAGTTATCTTATGGTAACGCAATAAGTCTGTTTTCAAACCAAACTCGATTTAGATACGATTCGGTTTCTTGTAATACAAATTTTGTGATTTTAAATTCCTTTCCCCATATTTACATACACACATTTTTTTATACAGCCTTGGCCAAAATTATTAGGCACCCCACTAAAATACAAGTAATCAAATGTGCTATGCTATCAGGTTGAAATGCCACAATAATAAATCAAAAAGTGGTAGAAAGCGTCTAATCAGTAAACGAGAAGACCTAATACTTATACGCGAGTCTCTCAAGGATCACAAAAAATCATCTTCTATCCTTGCAGCTGGCCTTTCGGAAGAGTTTAGTCAACCAGTTAGCGATCGAACAGCTAGAAGAAGATTTCTGGAAGCAGGTTTAAAAGGATGTAAAGCTCGAAAGAAGCCGTGGCTCTCAGAAAAGAATAGAAAAATCGTTTGGAATGGGCGCGCCGATTACCACATTTCACAGAAGAAGATTGGTCGAATTTTCTGTGGTTCGATAAATCAAACTTCGAGGTAAACTTAGTTAAGATCGACTTAAAGTATTAACAGCCATAGCTTCTTACCCTACAGCAACTTCGAAGACATAATACAAATCTTATGAAAACATTATTTTTTTAAGGTATTTGGAACACCTGGTATGACGTTCGTGAGGCGACGGGTTGGGAAGAATTTCATCCGGATTGCATGGTACCCACTGTGCAATGCTCCTTGTCACAAATCAGCGACTACGATGCGTTGGTTCAGAGATAACAGCATTGTTGTTATATTGGCCTGCATAGTGTCCAGATCTTAATCCCATTGAGCACATGTAAGCTACAATACTTTAAAATGCAAGACTAAGGAACGCAGTATAACATCAAAAACTGCCTTAAAGAATGCCTTAATTAACGAGTGGTACGATATAATTGCGGACGAAAGTGCAAAGCTTGTACGCAGCATGCCTAAGAGAATCGATGCCGTTATTAAATCGAAGGGTGGACCTACTAAATATTAATGTTATTTTCACTAATTCATTTTATTTTTAAGTGTTACTATTAAAACTTCATTACTTCACTTGTTAAAACAAAAAATTCAGTAATTAGTGGGGTACCTAATACTTTTGGCCAAGACTGTAAATGCTTAGTAAATTCCCTCATGTATTAATGGATAATATGATACAAAATTCTATTAAAAAGTTTTAAACTTTTTCAAACTTTTGAAATTTTTATTTCATACCGAATCGCGTTTTTCTTCCCAAACTTTAAAAAATTGCAGCAATTTTTTAGTTCGTATCATATTATATTGATTAGTACCAGTACTTAATAGTAACAGATAATATAAATATTTAGGAACAAATGTTAATGCGTGCGATTGGACGAGTTAATATCACAATGAGAACGTTTGTAATAGAATAGTGTATTAAAAAATGAAATTGGAATAGTGTTATTAGTCAGAAAGTATTTATTTTTCATTGATTTAGCCATGTTCGTCCTTTTATTTCTTTCGTCTATGGACTCATTTACATATAATACATGCAAGGGAGCGTTTCTATGTCTGCGGAATAAGAGATTTTTGGTAGGTGATTAGGCTCATTGGGATCGTAATATTTTCAGTGACTCGTAATTCGTATAAACACTAGGCTTCATTAGACAATTAGCCAATTAGATATTTCAAGAACCATAATCGAGATTGAAAAGTTAAATATGGGAAAAATCAAATATCGTGCCGAGAGTCCCTTGAAGATCATCCGAGGCCGGGCAAATATATCCGAAAAGTCGACGATGCTCGACTAAACAAGAAACGATTCGTAGAAAGGAGGATCAGATTTAACCAATTTTAAAACCTTTTGCGATCATTATGGCATGAAGAAGATCAGCGCAAGATGTGTGTCGAGCATACTCACACTCCTCCCTGCATAAGGTGTGCATCGATATTTCGAATCACCAATTCGGAAGGCCTGGGCTAAAATCCTGGTGTGACCAACATCCAAAAGTTATAGAAATTTAATCTTAATAAAAATTAAGTTAAATTTTCTAATTGCGATCGCCCCTCGGCAGGAAATGTAAACTTCTCCGAGTGTATTTCTGACATGAATAAAGGCTCCTCATAAAAAACCATCAGCAGTTCGGAGGCCTATATATCCAAAAATGAAAAATACAACTGAGGAGTAAAAAACTTACCACCGATGATAAATTCAATGAGACAGTATCGGAGTATTTTGAAGAACAAATTAATTTATGTATACCAATAAAGAAAGAAAAAAACATCAAGATGCAAAAACCACAAATTGGAGGAAGAGCTCGGCCGAAAATCGTTTCAGCGGTTATAAAGTGCCAATAATATATATATATATATAGAGGTGCGTTCAAAAAGTATCGCGAACTTTGAATCTTCGCGGGTTACGTATAATCGAATTTCGATTTTTTTGTGGCGTTATGTTGGTACTCATGTCTGCCACTTATGCCGACATGCTCGGCCATTTTGAATGTTCACTTAATTGCTGATTTGCTTGCACGTATTTTGGATGGTCTTCGATTTTTACCTATTCAAAAATAATGGATCAAAGAACCTGTATCAAATTTTGTGTGAAAAACGAAATTTAAGTGCGCGGATGCATTCTGATTATTAACTGTGGCATACGGCGAAGCTACCTTGCCCCGAAGCAACGTTTATCGGTGGTACAAAATGTTCTCAGAAGGTCGAGAAGATGTGAACGACGAAGAGCGTGCCGGACGCCCGAGCACTTCAACAACAGACGAAAAAATTAATTGCAGGGGCGTGGTGCATCATGAGTTCTTGCCACAGGGTAGAAAGGTCAATAAGGAATATTACCTGGAAGTTATGCGCTATTTGCGCGAAGCAATCCGCCAGAAACGCCCGGATTTGTGGAAGAACAAAAATTGGCTTTTGCACCACGATAACGCCCCTGCTCACACATCGTTTCTTGTGCGCGACTTTTTGGCCAAAAAACAACACACTAATGATGCCGCAGCCACCGTATTCCTCAGATCTGGCCCCCTGTGACTTTTTCTTGTTCCCTAAACTGAAGAGGCCCATGAAAGGACGGCGTTACGCTACGATTTACGAGATAAAGAAGATGAAGTGCTTCGAAAATTGGAATAACCGTTGGCACAAGTGTATAATATCTCATGGGGATTGAAGGATTGAAGGGGGCAAAATAGATATTCATGAATAAATAAATAATTTTTGAAAAAACACAAAATTGGCGATATTTTTTGGACACACCTCGTATAGTATTTCAGTAAATGAAAACGGCGCTTTTTTTGTTTGCAGTTGTTTGTATTTACCAGGAGAAGTTTTATTTTACTTTTTCCTGGAAGTCGACCTGAAATAGATGTATACAAAAAATTTTCTTCTAGAAGTGAGCTCTTCTACTCGGAAAAACCGTATTCATGGTTCGATTCACTTGAAATTTGGTACAAAGGTACCTTCTGGGGTTGGCTTTAGAACTGTGTCTCGCTTTAGTTGTTTTTTAAGCATATATTAAAATTTAGTTAATTCAATTTTCGATTAGTATTTATAGTAGTTATGGCATAGTTTTATACCTATGCTATTTAAACAGTCATAAAATATTACTATTTTCATTGCAACAAAACTTATCAAACCTAAATGCATGGTGACGTGCTCATTATTTTAATGTCCGTAGGATAATTTATATCTTACGTCCTTTTTCTGAATAAGAAGAGGTGTTTTGCACAAGATTCGTAAGACAAAGTCGGTTGACCAAGACTATATTTAAAGCGCGGCGACAGATCATTAATCCGAATAAGCATATTTTATTATCCTAATTTTTGTATTTTTTTAATTAAATTTCCTTTTCCCTTCTCTTTATATAATATATTGTATTTTAAGATTGAAACCTATTTTCTATATCTCTTTATTTAGGGCATAAGAGTAACATAAATTGGAGAAGTACCTCGGCCGAAAATCGCCTCTGCAGTTCGGTATACTCAAGCTTTTACATAGATATTAAATACTAGATATTTTTACACATATCACTTACATATCTTTTTCCGAGAAGTTTATAAACAAAGTCTCTAAGTATAGATGGTACGGTTTGCATACAAGTACAATTGCACATAAATACATACATCTTCGCTGCGGCATGTTAACATATGTCTGCCTAAGTTAGTACATAATACTATGGAAAGGTTAATGATATAAATAATCGACTTCGCCGCGATGCGGGCAATCCCATAACCCAATAGATAACATTATAAATAGTATTTCGTTAGGTGTCCTTTTTACCAACCATACATTGTCACACTTTCCTGCAACTGCGCAAACTTTGACGATGTAAAGCAATTGATGCGCAAACAAAAGCAAACTGCGCATCAGTAAGGTTTGTGGTGCTTTATTTTACCATAAATTTTTTACAACAACGTCATAAGTCGGAGGGAAAGTTCTTTTGCATTAATTATTATTTTTAAACATTATACTACTTATTTTTTTAATCTGTTTTATATTTTTTCCATTACCCCTAAAACTTATTGTCACGAAAAGCGTTCGAAAACGTCAGAGTTTGCAAAGTATTGTTGCAAGGCAAATTTATAGAAGTTGCATTATAAGTATTTGGACGTTTTGGAAAGCGCCCTGAGTTTGCGTTTAAAAATTGAGGTTACCCAATTGGTTTGTTGGCATTCGTTGCCAAACATAATTCATCCCCAATTTTCCTTTAATATAATTTTCTCTTAAGTTGGTCATTGTTACTTATTAGGGAGGTACTAATGGTTAATGGAGACATTAGACCATAAAATCTTGGTAAAATTCATACATTAAAAAAAGGCTCACAGGTCTGAATTTTCCCGTGACCAATATATCAATATATAAACCATTTCTTGGTTTCTGCCAAGAGAAACGAAAACTCATCGGGTGTTCAAATGCTAATTACACTAGTTCGTTAAGGATTTATTGAAAACAAATATAAACAGATTTTTATGATCTTAAGCCCTAATTTTGAAACGTCTTCAAATTGACATTACGTCGTTGTCCATAGGCAACCAACTGCTGTAGCCGAGTATTGGAGGAGGAGCTCTGTGGAAAATCGCTTCAGCGGTTACAAAGCGCCAATTATATATATATATATATATATATATATATGCGCACCGATATTGGCTAAAATTCCAGGTATGGATGTGAGATGAAAAAGGAGGCAGGTCCTTGTCGATGATACATGCGAGCAATTTGTATCTATATAAGATAGAAGCCACCATGCTGGCATGCTCCGTTGAGTTTGGAAACGTGTGTGAAAATAGTAGTTTTAGAGTTGCAAAATAAGTCGTCGTGTATACAAGAGCGAATTATTATTCATTGAAAATTAAGAAACGAAAAAATCCCTTGATTTTTTTATTTAGCAATACAGTGATCTAACTCGAAAGAATTGGGATATTATCGCGCCTTATTAAAGAAAAATCGTTACAATATATAATTAAAACACTTGTATGTGGCACCAATGAAGTAGCTTACCAAACGGTCACTGCTGTTGCTTTGGGTAGAAATGAAATAAAATGTATTTAGACAACTGCTTTAACAATTAAATTTCTTAATATTTTAATCGATACGATTGAAATGTTTTTACTAACGTAAAATTTATAGTAACGACGCAGCCTTACCACAAATTAAGAATTACTTGAAATGAAAACCATATCAATACTATAATTTAATGAAATTAACGATTCAATCAAATAGAAGTTGTAACAAAAATCTGGTGGAAGTGGAGAGGAATAAACTCTTGCCTGAGTTCTGGGGTTTTAGGTATTTTTTGTAAAATGTCACCCAATTTTGGATTCTTTTAATTTGCTAGAAGGCAGTTTCGAGAAAATTAGCTGCAAGACATTGCGAAAATACCAACGTACCATCACAATCACGAAGAACAAAATTAAATGATAGTCGAATTTTAGATAAGATGCTTGGATTTTATGCAAAGAATATTTAAGAAACTTTATATAAATATTGTCGGCTAATGCGAAGACTCCTCTAAATTTTCCCTTACAAAGGACTACCTTCTTTCTTACAGCATAGTCAAAGCTTCCCTTTTTGTATAGCTATCCGAATATACGTATTATGTACGAATAAGTGGGGTTAAAGTAAGTTTTTTGAATAATAAATGCGTGAGTCTTAATTAATTTGTTGCACGTCAAGAAGCCGCAAATAAAAGTTGAACGAATCTTTAATTTTGCTTATTATGAAGATAAAGTCTTAAAGAAGCGTACATGGCGCTAGTAGTACTTTAATCACTATTCCAATAATACATTTTTTAATAAATCCCAATAATATGAAGTAATTGAAAATTTATACTTTACCTTATCCTTCTTATCTTGGCGGGCATATGGGAAACATGGAATAACTGCAGTCACTCTTGAAGCGGACGCTATTTTGCAAGCATTTATCATTATCAACAGCTCCATTAAATTGTCATTAATTTCTCCAGAACCAGACTGCACAATGTATACATCTTCTCCGCGTACGGACTCGCCTATTTCAACACTAAAAATATTGAAATAATAAATAAAATACTTATTACTTTTTATAATAAAGTAGAAAAGGTACATTAGGCGATATTTTACTAAATATACATATGTTCTAAATTCATACTTTCTTACATTTTAGTTGTATGACAAAATTCATTTAAAGTCTTCTATTTGTATTATAAAATAAAGCAAATAACATACTTATTTAACGGCTTAAAATAAAAGTATCTAAGCAAAAAGTTGAAAATTATAACCCTGCCAGATCGGGCTGATGGGTTCCCCAATACACTCACACGACGTCGGGCTGTACTACAACATAATCAAATTTTTTTGTTTACCTTTCTCTTCTGAGTACATACAAATTGAAGGAGAATGCAGTTGAACGGATAGTCAGTTTTATTTTAAGTTTTTATTTTCTACTAGAACGCCATTTTTATCGTTTTTTCCGGAGCAGATAGCAGAAGACGTAAAAGCGTGAAAAATATGGATACGGATCCTATACAAGCTGTGGTAATAATAGAATGTATTGTCGATTAATCAACTACTTAGTTTTTCATTACTCTTTACATTGTTGTTATTTAAGGTCATTCAAAATCGTTCGGAAAATTCTTTTAATGGATCAGGTTGACTGGAATGGACGCTTCTCATCTTGCAGCAGCAGTACATCTCAAAAATATTCAACATAACTTTGCGAGGTACAACTGCATTTAGATATTAATAATATTATGATTCGAACATTAACTTTTTATTTTACTTAGATGTCTTTATACTTCAAAGCAGCCGCGATTATGACGGAAGCTTTTTGAAAACAAATTCATTGCTGTAATCTTATTTCTTTTGTATGCTATATAAACCATGTACCTGATCTATGTAAAAATATTGGGTAATTATTTAGAACAGCAGCTTTTGCTAAAACTGTCCAAAAATGATGGGGTTTTTGGCTAAATAGATGTATTTGATGATTATCTTTTAATTAAAAGTGGGGGAAAGCTGAATTTTGCAATAGTTTTATTATTACTAACATTTAAAGTTACACTAAAATCACTAGCACATACATTACAAACAAATACAAGGCTAAAGCGATGTTGCCATACTGTGTAAGAAATTTAAAAAAGAGTAATAAATAAGGCGGAGCAGGTGTGGGTCCTGCATTGATAGTTTTTCGATTCATTGAAACGAATATAAGCGAAAATTCATAATATGAATAAAAAAGAAAATTCATATTGGCTTGCATGTAAAATAACATATAAATTAAACAGTATTTTTCATAAAGATATTTCATTTAAAAATACTGTGCAAGGCGAAGCCGGTGTTGGTCCGCCCCAGGGTTACAATCCANATATGTAAATAATATGAACTTTCGTTTTTATTCATGTTATGAATTTTTGTTTTTGTTCCTTTCAATAAATCGAAAAAAACAAACTATGCCGGACCCACACTTGCTCCGCCTTATTTATTGCTCTTTTTTGAATTTCTTACACAGTATGGCAACATCGCTTTTGCCATACTCTCTCTCATTCCTTGCTCTTTTTTAAATTTCTTACACAGTATGGGCTAGTGATTTTAGTGTAACTTTAAATGTTAATAACAATAAAACTATTGCAAAATTCAGCTTTCCCCCACTTTTAATGAAAAGATAATCATCAAATACATCTATTTAGCCAAAAACCCCATCATTTTTGGACAATTTTAGCAAAAGCTGCTGTTCTAAATAATTATCAAATATTGAAATAAAGACTAAATCTTAATTATGTTTGCATGTATGTAGTATATATTTAGGAAACATTTTTGTCATGGCTGATTTCCATCGGCATCAATGCTGTCGCCCATCTCTCCACAGCACTGCTGCGTTTTTTTACGACATTATTGTTTTCTTTCGTTATCAGTTGTGTTCTGTTTGTCCGACAAGAATGACGAAAATGCACAAGGAAACGAAGAGAGAATGACGTACGCATATACAAATGTAAACATCACATTTGACATTTTGGCCTTAAGAAAGTGATGGGAAATACGTTCTGCGAGCTGACGGTATATGACATCATGCATTCCTGAAATATTTTGGCTCAAATGATCGGAAGCCTTCTCGAGGGATTACTTAAAATGCTAAATAATGGCAAAATAAATGTTACCTCGAACAAATTAAATGAGCAGGTATATTCAATGCGAATTCATTAAGGTGAAGTTAGGAAAACAAATACTACAATTACTAATAATTATTAACTGTGTTCGTTGAGAAATGTCAGTAAAAATCAAGATGGCTTACTCTCCCAAAAAAAGAAATTTACTGATTTTCAGCTAACAGCATTCAGTAAAAATTAGCAAGTAAGTTGTACTAAAGCTGTTAATTTTGTCGGTTACATTTGAATACGTTCATTTATATATATATAATATATAGCTTATTTTTTCTGTGTTAAATTATTTTAATAAATTAGGCAATTATATATTATTTTTAATTTACTAATTGTATTCAAAATTTATTTTATTTTAGCCTGCTGCAAGCCTTAATTTATCCTAATAGTCCTATAAAAGTAAAAATATTTATGTAAAACTTTGTTTGCAACCCTTTATCAATTAGATTTTCAGTACGGATGATTGAAATACGAAAAGAGGTTTGAAACTATTTTCCGTATGAGCCGGCCTTATCAACCCAACATTATCATAGAGTTTATTCGATTATGTTCAATTAGAAACAAAGCAAAGTTTTATTTTTCCTTCTGAATTCTAATATTTCATTTAGTGCATCGTCATCTCTTATGAAAGCTTAAGAATGAATGCATTATCGTCATTGTGACCATAGCTAAAAACCTTGCTTTGCAATTTAAGAAATCCAACATCAATTTACGTTGTATAAAAAATAATAATATATTCTAATCTTCATTTAATGACTACCTTAACTTTTTGATTGAATCGTTTATCCCATTAAATTTATTTTAAAAAATTTCCGTCTTTCATATTAAAAAACTAATATTATTTTCATTTTAAATAATTTTTGTTTTGTTGCCAAAAATTCAATCATATGATCACAAATCAACTGTTTTTCATAGTTGCTAGTTTTTACTGGACCAAATTTTCAAGAACAAATTAACAACTTTCCCTCCAAACAAAAAGGCAAAATTAAGCTCTCTAGTTAGGAATTTTTACTGAGCTTTTGGCTCAAAGAACACGATTCAGTAAAATTTGGTAAACATTTTTGGTGGCCAACTGATCAACGAACGGAACTATTCGTTTAGCGTAGCGACATACATAGTATGTACGTATGCATTTACCAGAGCCAGACATACCAACATAATAATGATTCAAAACAATAGGTTACACGTGCGAAAGACTGGTTTACTTATTTATTTTATTTATTTATTTATTAAAAAAGAAATCACTTAGTGTACAACAGAAATAAAATAATTATTATTAGCCTAGCTAGCTTGTTCAGATATATACAGGGAAAGCATTTTTACAGACGTTTTAAATAATAAAATTCAGTCTGCGCCACCAAAATGTGTCGGTTTCTAAAAAATAATGGTTTGGTTACGAAATATTAGAACAGGATTGGGCAGGTTTTTGACTTAAAGTTTTAATTTTATATTAAATTCCTTTATATTTGTTTTCCTAGCACAAAAAACTGTACCCTCATGTAAATAATATGTAAATATAAAGTTTCAAAAATATTTTCATTATTTGATTACTTGGCAGATTGCGGCCTTAGGGTTTGTCGAGCATTTTTTGTGGATTTAAAGTCTCGGTCTCGGTTTTGATTCCGAGAGGAACTTAACTATGTAGATGTAATTTTTAACCTAACTATTTGTAGTCTTTTAGCAATATCTATAGTATATGCAATACGTGCGGCGATAACCAAAATAAAAATTAACTACCCCGCGGAAAATGGACAATAAAAATTGGATAGTATTATCGGCGATTTTGTATGTGCATATCTATAAATTTTTGGGATGTGCCTACGGAGGATAATTTCCGTTCTGCAATACGAAAATAAAATACCTAAATTAACGCAAAAACTGTTATAACATTGCATTTAACGCCTTTTAGTCCGTTTATAATTACTAAACAGAATGAAACATACATATGTATAAATAGTTGCAAATCCAATCCGAATATTCTTTTGGAATGCTTCAAAGCGATCTCTTGACTTCTTTATTCTTATGTCTTAAGCTAAACATAACACCAAGTATTTTTACAAATACACTCTTTCTTTTCTTCCACAGATCACAAGAAAAATAATCTATGAATGTAACTTTAGACCAGCGCGGTTTCGCATTATTGTATATATCATAATTCGTTGTACATATAAAATCCCTATCACTGGCGAACATGTGACAACTCATTTTGTAAATCACGTTTAGTTGATGTTTACATTACTGAACATGATTTGGTAAATATGCCAGAACCATTAGAAAACTTAGCAAATAATTGTAGTTGTAGAAAGATTGAGTAACAAATTCGCCATTGCGAAGTGTGTCCAGAAATTTACTTACCATGTTTCCAGATTACTAAATTTCTTTGTCACTACTTTGCCCAAATCAATACCCAAACGATCAACGATTCTTTGCGCCAAATCAGGGTGCGAAGTGCCAGAAAACACTTTTATATTAGGCATCCTGGAATGCAATAGGTTGTTGCTGCAAATTATCTCCTGTTGATCCAAACTGTTACCAAAGAAACTCTCGACACGCGATAGACTACGAGATCGAACTGGCATCACACTATCCAAGTATAAAACCTTACTTGGTTTCCACTTGTTTATCAGCTTATTGTTTTGTCGCTTTTTTATAGGTTAGTAATAGGGTTAATTTAACCCAAAAAAGTGCATAAGCACTTCAAATTGTAATAGCTCAACAACTCGTAAAAATAATAGTGTGGTTACATATTCAAGATTGTCTCTATTTCATTATAAGGAATTTCAATAAATAATCCCGATGTTTACCCAAATACTACGTTGGCTTGTTAAGTGAAAGTCTAACAAATATTTTAAAAATGTTTATTTATTACTAACAAAATTACTTATTTTGTAACTTTTACGCTCTAGTATTTTCACATCATATTATTGTTGTCACCAACAGGCCTATTCTCACTACTATCACTAAAGTAAATTTTGTTACTTTTTTTAACACCTGAAATTTAATTTGGTATTCTGGCGAACTGTTTACAATGCTTGAAAACTTGGACATCACTGCTTTTTTCGTCCTTGTCAAATTACATTTGCCAGTTGATAAAGCAAAAAAGAAAATTATTTACATCGAAATGGAAGACAAAATAAATAAGTTTTATTTATTTGCTTATTGAATCAAAAATATTTGACAGTTTGCCCGCAGTGCCGGTTTGGATTAAGGCCATGGACTATCTGGAGGTTAAAGTGTAGTTGTGGTGCTGGCACTTCTCACTGATGGGCTCAGAGATTATGTGAAAGACGGGTGCAGCAAGGCCTCAATTGTCTTCGCTACTGTCTTCTTGCCTGGTTTAATGTATAATGAAATTCGCAAACTATCAAAAGCAAATAGATAGAAATTGGAATTAGAAATTTCTGATAACGACCATGCACAGGTTTACATTTATCTTAAATAAGTTTTTATCAATTTTACATTTACTTTGCATGGAAACTGAGTGGTGAGGAAGTGATGTGCAAATGTTTAACACGAACTCTTAGAAATCTGGCGTTGATTGAAACGCGGAACATCACCAACGTCTCGTTAGAATAGTATAAAATGTATAATGAATTTCAACTGTCAAATTACGAACAAAATGAGAGCAATGGAAAAGCATAAATTAATGATGATGTGTTCATTACGCTATTCTCTAAAAAAATTTCCTCGAGCTTCTGTGCCGAGCGAACCCAGTGTTGAGTAAGGTACTTTAAAAAATATTAGCATACATTTAAAAGATCTATCATAAATGTACATAATTTTTTATATTTTTGTTCATATTTTTGATTATAGTGAAAGAGACAGATTGCTATTAATATTAAATCCATATCGGGCAAAATGTAACAATATAATTAAAAATTTCTCCTATTTCAAGAGCTTTTGTAGAGTTTAATAGAATCCCCCAGGAGGGGTTTAGATATACATATTAATTAAAATTTAATTCATCGACTTTCGAATAGGGTAGATGGGTAAATATCTTAGCTATAACTAATTATAGCGAAGGCGATGTGTCGGCAGCTGCCGTCAATTTAGGGTAAGCGTGATTTGGCTTGCATAAGTCTACATGCCGTATGACGCCGTCTACGCTCCTTACATCTCGGTTCGAAAACTCGTGGAAGAACGCAGCATTTATTAACAAAAACCGTAAGAAGTCAGAAATATTACACTGTGCAATGAAATACTTCACGACTATATTTCAAGCTGGAAAGCTCTCAATGAATCCTCCTTTTTGACCACCGATACATTGAAACAATCATGGATCTTACCATGGTCAAAACCAATCCTAGAAGGAATCCTAGGCACACTAGCTAGGAGTCACATCAGACTACCATCATCAACTTATTAGGCAGTCGATTACCAGCATCTCCTTCTTTTACAGAAGAACTGGATAATCTAGTAGACTTCTTCACAAATTGTGCTAATTAGAGCATGTCCAGTGCGCATGTGGTGAGAAAAGCGCAGACCGCACTGGTGGTCGAGAGAACTGGTCACACTCCGAATGTCATATAGGAAGCTCTTCAACAAAACTACGAGACTATCATAAGACTGCTTTCCAGTATGTAAATACGAACTCAGGGTCGATAAAAAGGCTATGAGGAGGGCAAAAAGATCTTCCTGGAGAGATTTTTGAAGTGATGTTGAAGGAATAACGGAAACCATAAAAAAGTCTAAATCCCCAAATTCGATGGGTTTTTTTTTTAGAAAAAGGACAAAACCTGGGATATCGCGCTTTCCTGGAAAGTCGCATACTCCTGTGAGCTCAGCTCATTTGTCAAGATAGTAGATAGATAGTCTACCAGTTGCGGATGAAATGGTAATCAGTGCAATAAGAACCTTCGGTCCATATAATGCCCTAGGACCGGACGGCATCCCTGTACAGCTGCAGAACAGCTATCCACAAGATGGCTCAAAGCTATATACATATGTATCCTGATTAAAACTTAATCACACGCCACAGACATGGAGAAGGGTATCAGTCGTCTTCATCCCCAAAGAAGGTAAGGGTGGCTACTGTCAATAATCAGCACGCCTATCAAAATGGAAAATAAAGAGAAACTGCACTCCTGGTGGCCAGTTATAAATAAAAATAAATGTAATTCTCAACACTTTGCCACTGGATTTGGTGCTACATCAGTCGGCAGCAATAATTACACTTCGTCCAAGAGAGTTAAAACAATGTTCTACCCAGGTATGGGGACACTCGGCAATATTAATACCAAGTTATTCTCAGCAGAGAAGAATGGCCAGATAATTTGAGGGGAAAGTTGGCGGAGGTATCTTCTCAAAAAACCCTCCGATGGAACTCTCGTTCAGGCTACCTTATCAGGTAGAGATATCTGCTATCATGGAGGCTGCAAAGCAAATTGGAACCAGCTTTAAAGGTGAAGATATCTTCATTTTTAGCAATAGTCAAGCAGCAATAAAAGCACTGGGCTTGCTTACGCTAAACTCCAAATTAGTGGTGAACTGTCGCCGATCTCTACAGGAGATGGCCAAACGGAACAGACTGTCTCTCACATGGGTCCCTGGTCACAAAGACATCGACGTAAACTGCTAGGCGAGGTGGGACCAACCAGATTCTTCCCGATAAAGAACGCATTGGTATGCCTTTTGCTACATGCAAATATCTTCTCAATGAATTTATATATAAACAATCGACTATAAGGTGGAATGACATCACAACCTACCGCAAAACTAGGCGCACTTGGCCGAAATTGGATAAGAAGAGATCACGAGATATGTACTCCTTAAAAAGAGATGACATGTTCAAAGTTGTAGGAGTTCTGACAGGCCACTGTCTGACAGGACGCCACGCAGAAAGACTAGGGCCTCCCTATATAAGATGCTGCGGAAACTGCAAGGAGGATAAAGGGAAGGAAACGATCAGCCATTTCCTATGCGACTGTCCTGCTTTGAGCAGGGCGAGGTTTCGTAATTTTGGAACCCCACTGCTGGCGTCAAAGTCATGGATCTAATGAAGTTCATTAGATAATTAAAATGGATGGATGATGAAATCTGATATATTAAGTTTTTGTGGTATCACAATGGGTCTAAGTCAAGCCTAAGTGAATCCGACTTAATAGATCTGCAGACACTGCAACCTAACCTAACCTGTTCTATTTAATTGTTCTTCGATGAACTGAGACTGTGGCGATCGTTGTTGAATCTGTTGCTCATGAGTTTTTCTTGACGTTATCTACTTTAATTTTGTTAGTAAAATGGCAGACGATAAGAAATGACAGAAAACGATGACGATAACGCAGACGAGCATTCCGCAACAACGTCGTCTGTCGTTATTGTTGATGATGGCGCTGAACGGCATACCAATGTTACCGTATCGTCATTTTCACTGACGATGGCGATACTCAGCATAAGGCCGATTGTGTTTTTACTTCATTTCAAAAAAATGCATAAAGTGATTGCTGACTTTAGATCTGTAAAGTAACAATTTTTACTGAACTGCGTTCGGTGTGCCCAAAAATCCCGTAAAATTAAAATTGACATTTAACTGACACAACAGCTGATTTTTGATCATATTGTGGTGAAAATGCGAGGCGAATGTCAGATGAAAGAGAGAAGCCGATAACTAGTACATTCTAAAGCAATATCAAACAACTAGATTATTCTACACTTTCGTCTACGAGCAGCCGACTGCTCAATAAGGGCGACACTCAGCTGCCAAGGGGGGTCAGAACAGCCGGTTCTACGCACCGGATTTGACCCGGATTTTATCCGGTCACCCTTTCGGCGACCTAACCCCGTTTAGGTCAACAGGTAACTTTAGTCTATGGAGCAACACCTTGCAGTTGGGTTGCTCCAAATCCTTCTGATCAGGGCTGGAGTAGAAACCAACCCTGGACCGACGGACTATTTCTGCTGCGTGTGTCACAGAAAACTCCACCATTCCTCCACCTCGGTTAGATGAACCCAGTGCAATGGTTGGAGTCATCCTAAGACCTGCTCAGGCCTTAAGACTCACAGGGAATGGACCACGAGTTATGTGGCCCCATGCTGCTAGCGTCCAACCGCCCCCCAGCCTCTACGGCAGTGCCTTCAGCCTCCACGGTCTCACGGAGTTCCCCGCAGCATGATTCCCTCCAACCTCCACCCCCATCCTTACCCACAACCAGGGAAAGATTGACCGGGAGCACCTGTCAATTGCTGCGATCCAGGAAACCAATATATACATTCCTCCAGTCACAAGTTGCCCAGCCCGTTTGGTTTTAGGCGATTTTAACGCGCATCACGATCTTTGGCATTCTAGCCTGTCAAATGACCGTAGAGGACTGAAGCTGGCAGAACAGATAGACGATTCGACATTCTGCACAATGAACGGCAACACTCCTACCAGAGTTATGGGTAATTGCCAAAGCTCGCCAGACATAACAATTGCGAGTGCTGGTCTGATAAACAGTATAGTCTGGCGACCTATACTGACGTTAGCATCGGACCACTTGCCCATACATATCTCGATTGACAGGCCTCCCGACTTTGTTTCCGCGGACCACCGGACATTCGTTAACTTTAAAAAAGCTAACTGGTCCGGATTCACGGAATTTACCAAGAACGCCTTTAGTGCTCTTCCCACTCCAACTGACGTCACCGCTGGTGAACGCTCATTCCGCAGGGTCGTCGTGGCCGCTGCCGCCCGCTTCATCCCGGCAGGCCGCATCGCGGAAATCCGTCCAAATTTACCACCACCCTGAAGATACCCGACATGTGGAAAATGGGTAGGGTGGTCCCGCTACTAAAACCGGGGAAACCAGACAACAAGGGAGAGTCCTATCGGCCTATAACTCTCCTCTCCCCAGTAGCGAAGACACTTGAGGCCTTACTGGTCCCGACCTTCACTCACCATCTGCGTCCAGCAGCGCATCAGCATGGCTTCCGAAAAGTGCACAGCACCACAACAGCACTTAACGCCATAAACACCCAGATAGTCCATGGTTTTAACCAAAACCGACCCTGCGCGCGAACTGTCCTAGTAGCACTGGACTTGTCAAAAGATTTTGACACAGTCAATCATTCAGTGCTACTAACGGACATTGAGGAATCCTCATTACCGCCGGGGTTGCAGAGGTGGGTCATGGGCTACCTGAGTGGTCGACAATCTTCGGTAATATTCCGAGGTAAAACATCTAAACACAGAAAAGTTAAACAGGGGGTTCCGCAGGGTGGTGTCCTCTCCCCGCTACTGTTTAACTTTTATATATCGAAACTCCCTCCACCACCAGAAGGAGTTTCCCTAACCTCGTATGCCGATGACTGTACGATAATGGCGTCTGGCCAGGATATTGATGACCTCTGCTCGAAAGTAAACGGCTACCTCGCTGATCTCTCCCACTTCTTCACTGCAAGACAACTACGAATCCAACCGACAAAATCCTCGGCTACCCTTTTCACCAGCTGGACGAAGGAGTACAGGCTTGAACTAGATGTAAAGGTCGATGACGAAAAAATTCCGACGATAAATAACCCAAAAATATTGGGAGTAACTCTAGACAGCCTGCACTCCTTCACTCCGCATACGACCGCAATTGCCGCAAAACTCCAGAGCCGCAACAAAATACTCAAAGCGCTAGCCGGCAGCACCTGGGGTAAAGATAAAGAAACTTTGCTGGCTACTTACAAAGCAATTGGCCGGCCGGTCGTAAACTATGCTGCTCCGATCTGGACGCCGGGGACGAACGGGACGCAGATGAAGAAGCTACAGGCTTGTCAAAACACCGCCCTCAGGACTGCGACAGGTAACCTCCTGATGTCGCCGGAGCATCACTTGCACAGGGAAGCATCTATGCTACGAGTTAAGGAGCATAATGCTTTGCTGTGCAAGCAGTTCCTACTGGGAACTCCCTGCGGTAGCATCCCAGTAGGCACTTAATAGAGGCTGAAACTCCACCTAGGCACATCGGAAAGGGAGTACTAGACTTAAAGGACACGATCCAGCAACACACACAACAACCGCTGGACAGGACGGCGTATCGACAAGCACTGAACGCCATTCACCAGGAGTCAGTTAACACCTTCATGGACTCCCTTCCAGTGAATGGCGTACTCGGAGAAATACAACCGCCCATAGCAGACAACGAGCTCGAACTGCCTCGAGAGACCCGCGTGACCCTGACTCAACTCAGGTCTGGATATTGTAGCAGGTTAAACTCCTACCTATCCAGACTAGACCCCAGCATACCTAACGTATGCCCGGCATGTGGAAAGTCCCCGCACGACACTAACCACCTCTTCACATGCCCCCTCAAACCTACTCATCTAACCCCCTCTCCCTTTGGTCCAACCCCGTCGAAACAGCTCGTTTCCTGGGCCTACCATTAGATGACCTCGGCGACTTAGACTGATTAAGCCTGTGCCTAAGCGGGGTTAGCGAACCGCTACAACAACAACAACAACTGGAATGGACGCTTCTCAGCGTGTAGCATCAACGACAAAAACCATCAGTCGTTCGGAGGAGGCTTAGTATAAATTGTAGGTCCCCCCATTTGTTGGAAAAACATCAAGACGCGAAAACACAAATTGCATGTCCTTCTCGGCGGAAAATCGCTTCAGAGGTTACAAAGCGTCAATTATATATATATATATAAAATATTAGAATGAAGACTTATCCTTAATACCGTTTGTATGTATGCAATGTTTTTGTCAACGCTGAGTTACTTCGGCATCAATGCTTCCTGTTTACGCCTATTTTTTTTTTTGGTGTCAATGATGTCTTTCAGCTGTGTTTTGTTCGTCCGATAAGTATGAGCAGAGAACTTATAACATAGAGAAGGTTCAATTGCGGACCAGCGTGGAAACTGTCAAAAACGAAGTCGAGTCATGAAAGCGTATTTCACCACCGGCACAGAAATTAACAGAATTCGTCTATAGTGCTTAACATTTTGAGCGTAGCAACAAAAATTATGCTCACAAATGCAATTCTCAGCATTNTTATTTCGCATGCATTTTCTCATTTTACATAAAAAACTTGCTCATTCTGCTAGTTTGAGCACGATTTCTGTCTGCTCACTGTTAGAGTGCGGTGAAATACGCTTTCAGATTTGTGTGTTGAAATACGCTTTCATAACACGAGCCAGCGGACCAATTTGATAATCGGCACATCCTGGTGCTTCTCGTTATTATAAGTTCTCTGGTATGAGTTCCAAAACGTCAGTTGCGAAGCAACCATACATTGTCATGCATTTCTAAGTGCAACTGAGCAAACTTTGACAGTATCATGTTCTAAAATGCATCGGTAAAGTTATTGATGCACAAACAAAAGCAAGTCGCGCAGTTTTGTGATGCTTTATTTTATTTTAAATTCTCAGCAGCATCGGCCGACGTCGCAACTATTCGAACATGACGGTAAAGAGATGACGAAAATCGATGTATTTGCAAAATCCTTTTAAATCAAAATTAATTACGAACTTCAACGTCTATACGATTCGCAGGATCCGCAATAAGGAAAAATAAATAATAATATATTTGTCAAAATATTGAATAAACCAATCAAAAAATAGTATGTGATGTCTAACAGTTTTCATAAAAAAATAAAGTAAGCTAATTCTTAAAAATCTTTTCTAAAAAATGCTACTTCTTACAAAGAAACACCCAAAATTAGTCGCGTTTAAAAGAGAAAAAAGGCTTTTGCTCAGATTTTATTTAAACAGAATCGAAGAAACTCGATAATAGTGTTCACTTTATATTGCTGGCTTATACGGCAAATAAATTCCAGACTCATTTTCATTCTTTATGAAAATCTAAGATATAAGCAACAAATTTGTATAAAGCAAGTTTTACATACATACATTAATTCTTTTTTTTTTTTTGATGATTAGAAAAAGCATATTAGTACCGTAACATTTAACGGCTACAATTATAAACTATACATTTTCAAAACAATTAATATATTAAAAATGACATATATTTGCCAATTTCATTAAAATGCTTATTAAAATACTTAAAAGCCGAGAAATAAACTGTATAAATAAATCGATTCAAAGTTAACCGCCAATATAAACTGTCGTTATCTAACTTGCTGACTTATTTTTACTGGCGAAAACTCAATAAATTTCTTTCTTTGGGAAAGTAAGGCATCTTACTCTCTTATATTTGGCTGCTGGATGAAATTTTTACTAACATTTCTCAACGAACAAAGCGTTTACTGGCTAGCTGTATTCACAATTTATTTATGTAAATGCCTTCCACGAAATAATTATATCATTTATGTCTGCATTCGATATTCCTCAAATAAAAAAACTCACCGCACTCTGCGCGGAGGAAACCACAAAATAGCAATGAGCCCTCTCTACTATAATAAGGAATGATTTTGCACTTATTATGTTTACATTTTTGGTGATAAGTAACAAAACTTTTTAATTATTTATACAGTACTTGGTAATACATCAAATACAATGGGAGGATTATTAGGTATATAATTTATATCACAAGTTGAAGCATTTATATAAATAATATTTCCATCCGAGGTAATACCATAACCTTCATGTATATGTCCAAAAACGTGATACTTGGGTTTAACTCGCTTTTGAACTGTAGATAATAATTCAACACAACCAGCACGAACACCCGAGCAGCATAAATCTCCATGACCCACGGGCGGTGTATGGGTTACCAATATGTCAACAGCGGTAGGTATGCGATTCCACACATTCAAACATGCTTCCCCCCGAGGCAAGTTAAAAGCCCATTTACAAAACTCAGGCTGCCAAGGAGTACCATATATGCGGATGCCCATTACGTTTATTAACTGGTCCTCAACGTACGTACAATTGTGTAAAATATCCCGAATGTTGTTTGTTTGTATAGCACTTTCTATGTCCTCTCGTGGATTTCCAAGCGTAGGCATATTTTCAACACTAAAGCGACCAGTGTGTTTAGTTCTGTTCACAAGAGCAATAGATTATAATATCGCTCAAAAATTCATTCACATTGGACATACCGGCTACTTGGGCTTTTCTCAAGAGAAGATTCTGTAAAAGTTTTGTCAAAACTTAGCTCATGGTTCCCTGCTATTACTAATTTGTGTTTGTGAGGCAATGAACCGATCCATCGATCAAATTCAATAACTTCTTCCAATTTACCACATTTCGTAAAATCTCCAGCATGGATAAAGATGTCTCCATTTGGTATATCAAACTTTAAATGGGTAGTTAGCGAGTGTGTATCACTCATACAAACGACACGGACTTTTTTAGGGTCTTTCTGTTTAACTGCCCGATTCATGGATACTTTTATAACCCTCTGTGACTTCGAGATTTCTTGCCAGGCCGCTGTTGGATCATTTGTTAATGGGTGTACAGATATTGGTACTTCCATAATTTATTAGTCTCTCGCCAAACTTGCAAACAATCCAAGTACCGCTCTTAAAAATCAATGCGTCCGTACTTTGCTAATCAATACAAACATACTCGATGTACAAAAATATCGGATTTTCGATATACTAATTTCATTAAGGGGCGCTTACACCAAGTATAATAAAGAAAGGTGAAATACATATTCAGCAAAAAATTTAAAGGTAACTAGTGTCATATGTCAAATCAAAGATATTTTTATACACTTTTAGTTCAAGTTTAGTGCGATAAATTACACGTGTTCTTAGGAAAAACGGAAGTGTATTTTCCTTCCTAACGATTCCAATATTTACGAATTTGGTGTACAACTTTTCAAAATATAGCCTTTAAAAACACACGAAAATTCTTCCTTTAATCAAAACAAAACGTTTATAACTAAAATTTCTTTTATTTCAAAAATATAAATCTTCAATACAATACCATATGGATGCGCTTGGATTTGTTATACTATATTCTTTTTGTACAAGGCTATAGAGTAGGATTGACAATTCTTCAAGCTTTTTCACTTGAGTTGTATACGTTGAAATTAAATTAGTCCACTTTAAAAGTAGGTTTAGTACTTCTATATCTTTTGATAGAATCAATTGCTGAAAATATGCATTTAGTAAAATATCGAACCAACAAATTATTTTCATTTCCACTTTTATATTACATCTCGTAGAGCAAGATGCAGACAGTTCCGTTAACAACTTATAGAAATATTCAAGTAGATAAAGTAAACCAAATGAACTGAAATCATTTCGTAATTGATCCATTAGTATCATCTGCTTGGATGGTTGAAAAACTGTGTTGGGGCCAAAAGACTTCAATATGATTGATGCAAAACTTTTGTCTTTGAGAATATTTGGATAGCTCTTTTCAAGCATTGAGAAAAACACTTTAGTAAAGATGGATTCTGGTGAATTTGATAGCCGACTCATCAAGCTTGTTATTTTGAGAGAATTGCTATTCTTAGACAACATCAACAACATTTTTTCTGAAATTTCTTGTTCCGTAGTTCCATAACTTTCAAACTGCCGAATGAAAAACTCAAAAAGTGTTCTGTTTATTAGTTGTTTTTCTAAAGATGTTTCGACTATAGCGACTGTATCATCCAAGAATGATTTGTCTTGGTCAACTTGTATAAAGGTTTGAAATTGTTGTCCTAAGCAAGATCCCTTACATAGCTTTTCTTTTAATCTTGAATAACTTTCATTACCGTTACTGATATTGTTGTAAATGTACTCTTTTCTTTCTGAACGGTATGAACTATTTTTATATGAACAAATTGATTGAAGGTAATCTTCCTCGTTTATAAGATCTCCTTCAATTCTCACATGGTTTTCACTGTTGTAGGTTCCCAACAAATCTACCAAAAGCTCTTGAGACATTCGGTATGTTACCACCGATAAATTTTGTCCCATCGCTATTATGATATTACCTTCGTGGATCCAAATGCGGGAACAACTGAAGTACACTTTGAAAAACTGTTGCGCCTTAATTATTTTGAATTGGGTGTTGTAAAGTATTAGAGAAGCGCCTTCTTGATTACTATTTGCACCATAAATCGCTACACAATTTCTAGCCACACCCAAAACCGATAACGGAGTATCTACTTTAAGTGTCGAAATAATAGATACGAAATTTCCTGGTGACTTTTCTGCTTCCAAGGTTTCATCCAGGTTAAGTAAAAAGAGTCTTTGGTCTGACCCTAAGGATTTATAAAAATAAGATAGCCATTAAAAAAATATATCTTTAAAATTACTTTACATACAGATTGTTAATAGCATGGGTGCATTATCTCCTTCAACTATTGAATATCCGGACAATGAAACAGTCATGTCTTTTCTTGTAATTTTCAGACTTTTCCGCTGGCCATCACATGTAAGAGGTATTATTATAAGCTCTGTTTCTTTGTTGTCCACACCTTGTACAAAGAAGGACAAAATTGGTACACCATTGATCAAAAGATTTGCATTTACATCCTTCAGGCAATCATATTTCAAATTAAGAGGATTTATTGAAGTGGACACGACATTTGACGACGACGAAATTGCTGTAGAAAGCCAATCCCAACTGCCATCGGAATAAAGTATTATGGTATCGCTGCTACTTGGTACAATATCAACAACAAGCTTGTGTAACTACATTAAAGGTAGATTGATTATAATCTGAATCATCAATTTTGTATACATTATTTATTATACCTTGATCCTTTTTATAGTATTTATGTCCGTGGAAGATGCATCCCAACAACGAATATATCGATTTCCAAAAACTCCCACGTACCTCCTACTGGAATTATCAAAAATTACTTTAGAGGACAGCTTTTCATGTGTTGACCAACTGCAAATTTGTTGTTGGGTCGATATCTACAAAGAGAAGTACTTCAGGGTATATAATAAATGAAATAGCAAAAGCTTTGAACACACATTTAAAATAATATTATTCTTTCTATGAGTTTTCACTTTTAGATTTAATTGATATTTTCAAATAAGTTTAAACTATAAAACTAGAATATAACTAGCAGTATTTCATTTTCCGTTGTTTTTGAATATTTTTTAATATATTGTATGTAAGACTGCATATATATCTGAAGGATCATATTTTTTAATCTTTTTTTAAATGACCAAGTTAATTTGACACCTAAAAAACTACTTTTTATATATTTGGTAACAAAAACGTTGAAATGGGTCACTAGATTCAGTATACAATCATACAAGCATTTTCATTTTTTCTCAATTTACAAAAACTCGTTAGCTTGAATCCTCGTCTTTTAGCTTAAAAATAGTTTGATATCTTTTGAGAAGCACATGTGCATATATATACATTTTATATTTTTATATAAATTTCTAATTTGCTGAGAGCTCATATAATATATTATATGTGCGCCAAAAGAAAATAGGCTAATACTTAGTTGTGATAAAGTTTGTTCGATTTAGTTTTGCCAGAGAATTATTATTATTGACACATTTTTCCTTACTTACTTTAACGACAATAACAATATTTCGGCTAAGAGTTATTATAATGTTCCCTTTGACATAATCTGGAGATGTGCCAAGGAAATCTTTCGAGTCATTAATCCTTGACAAATTAAAAAATGATAAGAACTTTGTCATGATTAAATAAAATATCTCAACTTTTTTTAAAATCAACCACGCTGAAATATATAAATTAAAACAACCACAATAGAAATGACAGTTTTACCGATAAATAAAAAATAACGATGTGGTATCAATAATCACTTTCGTTAAATTTTTTCGAAAAGCTATCGACTTCAACTAGCTTCCAACGTTGCATTATTATACAAGCACCCCCGATTATTAATTACTTAAATCGTCATACAAAAGTGGGTAGATCATTCTCAATGATCATATGTATATGAATATGTCTATATAATTGAATTTGATTTGTAGGAATCCATATTTTGATACTTCCTTCATCAGACGAATTCAATATTTCATAAACATTTAATAAAAGCTTTCACTCTCCCTCTTACAAATTAATCAAAAAAAGTAAACCATCTAAACAGAAAATGGTCAAATTCCGTGCCGTGTGAATGGGACATTTCGGCATCGAAATTGAGAGGACGAACAAGGTAATTCACGATATATTGTATAAGCCGTTGTAAAGAATTAAGGAACACGTTACCAAAGATGACTAGACACGAATATTACTCAAATTCACTTATATTACAGCTAAGAGCGTTTGCCCATCTCAGATTTATCTAAAAATCCAAGGACCTCAACTTTTCATCGCTGTTGCACTCTTCAGAAACAGTATCTTCTTACCTAATCATTTTTGACTTTACTGCACAGTACACAACTGTAGGTGAGAGTTTTTTACTCATTCTTTCATATATTCATGTATTCGTGGAGTGAATACAATATGCCCATCTCACTCGTATCCAATTTTAATAAGGAATATAAACATTTAAAAAGGATTTATTTTTTATTTTTATTTATACAATCTTTTATTTGTACAATTATTTTTCTTCTTTTTTGGCGTTGTCACCGCTTACGCGATTATAGCCGAATCAATATCAGCGCGCTTGCAAAGCTGGAGTGCTTTCATCCATCCGGACGACGTTACCTAGCCAGTGTAGAACCTGTCGTAAAGCACCTCACTCCATTGTCTGCGGTATTCGCCGAAAGACAATGCGCAAAGGACCATTTTCTCTCGAAGACTTTTAGAGTCGAATCAACAGATGTTTGGTATCGTCCACGCTTCAGTGCCATAAAGTAGGACGGGTATGATGAGCGATTTGTATAGTTTGGTCTTTGTTCACCGAGAGAGAATATTACTTTTCAATTGCCTACTCAGTCCAAAGTAACACCTGTGGGCAAGAGTAATTATGCGTTGGATATCAAAGCTGACGTGGCAGCCGATTCGCGAATGCGATGACTGTTTGTCTGATGGCAGGAGATATTTCTTCTTGCTCTCATTTACTACCAGACACATTCGCTTGGCTTATTTATCAAGCCGGGAAAGTGCAGAACTCACGGCGCGGTTGCTGAGGCCAATAATGTCGATTTAATCGGTTTACGACAACAGCTTTACACTCTTGTAAAAGATTGTACCTTGTCTATTCAGCTCTGCAGCTCGTATTATTTTCTCCAGCAATAGGTTAAAAAAGTCACACGTTAAAGAGTCACCTTGTCTGAAACCTTGTTTGGTATCGAAGGGCTGGGAGAGGTCCTTCGCGATGTTGAGAAGGCTTATTCCACGGTAGTCGGCGCAGACTGTGGGATCGCTTTTTTTGTGGATTGGGCAGAGTTCACTTAGGTTCCAATCGTCGGACATGCTTTCATCCGACCATAATTTGCAAAGAAGCTGAAGCATGGACCTGATCAGTTCTTCACTGCCGTTTTTGAAGAGCTCGGCCGGTAATTCTTTGATCCCCACTGCTTTGTTGTTTTTTAAGTGGCCACAATTGCTATTCGGACCTCTTCATAGTTAGGTAATGGAACAACTTTTCCATCGTCATCAATTGGAGTTTCGGGTCACCTTCTAAGGGTCTAAGACCAGAAGTCTTGAGCTGCTTGAACCATTTGCGGAAGAATCGTTTCTGACCACTTCCTATGTGAATGTCAAAAACTGTTCTCACTTGCGTGAACTTTTACACAAAGTTAGTTTTATATAAGTAACTTTATAATGTTTTTCTAAGCCCTGAAAAAAAATTTAAAATGGCTTATTTAAGAACGATGTTACTATTAAAATCATTATAACATCATATTATCATCTATAAATGTTCGATACAAAATCTTTCCCAAACTTATCATGGAACATATTTAATTGAAAACCCAGATCAGAAAGCTCATTTAGGAAATCATGAGCATTATCTCGAGTTTAGCTTTAATACCTAGTTCTTAACATTACATGATGCACAGGTTAAATTGAAGTCGCCTATTACAAAAATATTTTAAAGATCGCCACATTTCTTCTTTAGGTCATTCCTTGACCAAGAGGCAAGTCCACACCAAAAATAACATTGTCAGTAATTTTCGCTACTATGGACTTACGTAACACTGTTTTATTCGCGATTATGACTTCACACGTTACTTTTCCTATAAACTTGGTGTTCTCACCAGTTACCGTCCTCGGTAAGTATTCGCTTATGTAATTAAACATATTAAAGAAGTTTAAGGTTATTTGTTTTTCTAACCATTTGGGTGACGGAGATTATGGGCCGTTTTCCATCAGCTTTGCAACACCGTCCGTCTTCCTTTGTCGTGGAGCTCATCTTACAGTCACGGGCAAACTGTCCTAGCTTTCTGCAATCGAAAATAGGCTGCCAAACTTTTCCTCAATACTCCAGTTCTTTGCAGTAGCTGTCTTTTTGAACTGGGTTTAAAAATCTGAAAAGGAATTGTCATCAGAGGATGTTGTTTTCATCCTGAGCGCGTTCGTCGGAGTGTTTGAATGATTGATCTGAATGTTTCGGAGATGTTCTGCAATCTCATTGACTTTGTACTCGACCTTATCTTTTGCTTTATAATTCTAAGGTCTGTGCTCTCTTTGACCAAAACCTCTTGAAACTGTATGAACTGTGATGACATCCCAGACATACGTGGACTCTGTATTTGCAGTTGTAATGAAATGTTGGCATTCATTTGTGAATTAAGATTATCTTGCGCATATAACTTTTGTGTCCATACTCGTAGATGTGGGAGGTTTTTTAAGAGCTATAGGAAATCGATAAATGATCTATGCTTCAATGCTTCCATGTTGTTCTGCAATGCGTTAATTAACGCGGGCTTGTTTGCATGGACATTAGATTTAGCATAGCACCACTTGAAATAGTCTAAAAGCGCTAAATCGCACGATCAGGAAATCTTGTAGAAGCACTAAAATAGTTGAGTAAAGCAGTTTTAGAATCAATTCTAGTTTATTCGGTGAGTGGATGGGCAGCAACAATTGTTACTGAATTTTACTGAATCGTTTTCGGTGGGGCAAAAAACCAGTTTTATATTGTTGCGAAAATGCGAGGCGAATGTCAGATGAAAGAGAGAAGCCGATAACTAGTACGTTCTAGAAACGATAAAACAAGAACCTTCCATAGCGAACAATTCGATGCTTCTACGCTTTCGTCTGCGAGCAGCCGACTGCTATATAAGGGCGACACTCAGCTGCCAAGTCAAGTTAGTTACAAAGTGAACTCGTTGGCGTTAACATCAGTAAAGTCGTAAAGTAAACGCGTTGGAGATTACATTTAAGTAGAGTAAATTGTGAAAGTTGATACTAGTGATTGTAAATAGTAAAGTGTATTGTAATTGAATTGTGAATTACGGAGTAAATAAAGGACATTAGATAAATTCTTTATAACGAAAGAAACTGCAAATTAAGTTGGCGAGTTTTATTTAACAATCCAGAGATCGTACCCGAAGGATTTAGGAAATCATCGAGGTTGATTTAGTAAAATCGTAACAATATTGTTGCGAAAATGCGAGGCGAATGTCAGATGAAAGGGAGAAGCCGATAACTAGTACATGCTAGAAACGATAAAACAAGAACCTTCGATAGCGAACAACTCGATGCTTCTACGCTTTCGTATGCGAGCAGCCGACTGCTATATAAGGACAACACTCAGCTGCAAGTTAAGTTAGTTATAAAGTGAACTCGTTGGTGTTAACATCAGTAACGTCGTCAAGTAAACGCGTTAGGAATTACATTAAAGTAAAGTAAATTGTGAAAGTTGATGCTAGTGATTGTAAATAGTAAAGTGCATTATAATTGAATTGTTAATTATTGAGAAAATAATGGACGTTAGATTAATTCTTTATAACGAAAGAAATTGCAAATTAAGTTGGCGAGTTTTTATTTAACAATCCAGAGATCGTACCCGAAGGATTTAGGAAATCATCGAGGTTGATTTAGTAAAATCGTAACAATATATATAATATATATCCGTACTCATAAACATTCTCTCCCTCCTACCCCCAAGCTTAGACTATGGTCGAATACAAAACAGATCTATGATCTATTCAGGCCACGGATGATAGTTTTATCATTAGATTCCCAAAATAAACACATCTCTCTACTCAATTAATAGACTCCTGTCATAATGAGTTCAAAAACCTCAGTTGGAAAGTAACCATACATTGTCACGCATTCCTAAATGCAATTGTGCTAATTCTTTTAAACATTATACTACCTATTTTTTTTATCTGTTTTATATTTTAGCCAAAGCAACTTATTTGCGCGAAAAGCGTTCCAAAATGTCAAAGTGTGCAAAGTATTGTAGCAAGGCAAATTTATAGAATGGAGGGTTGTATTGTTACAATGTATTTTGTCGTTTGGAACTCGCCCAGGCTTAGCAGTGCCAGGGGAATTTTGAAAATTGAAAAATTTACATTTGTATTGTGGCGACAATTCCAAATACTAATGTAAGGTGACCAGAGGTCGTTAACTAAACCATGCACTAGATCGACCGCGAATAATCGTTTGCAGCTAAGGGCCGTTTTCACCATCTCGGGATTAGCTCTTAACCAGAAGATAATTTGACATTTACAAATAATAAAATAACAAAAAAAAATGTGTCTGGCTAACCATACCACGGTAGTATAGCATTTAGCCGAAAGTTTGTCTATGTCATTTCTTTTGACATTTTTTGTGGTACTGTTGCCCTGTAGAGATCTGACGGCTATTTAACTATCGGAATATACTGTTACGATTTTACTAAATCAACCTCGATTATTTTCTAAATCCTTCGGGTACGATCTCTGGATTGCTAAATAAAAACTCGCCAATTCAATTTGCAGTATCTTTCGTTATAAAGAATTAATCTAATGTCCTTTATTTACTCCGTAATTCACAATTCAATTACCATACACTTAATTATTTACAATCACTATCATCAACTTTCACAATTTACTCTACTTAAATGTAATCCCAACACGTTTACTTTACGACTTTACTGATGTTAACGCCAACGAGTTTACTTTATCACTAACTT